CAGTGCTGGAAGGATGCAGATACGGGCTTGAACCAGGATGTACCCCAAAGTTTGGAAGACATTACCTACTTTGCTGTGTGCTAGTCCCTTTCCAGCTGTTATCCCCGCCTTACAGGCAGGGAAAGGGAGTCAGAGAAGTGACTTGGGCTTCTTCAGATGGACTTCAGGCTTGGGACCGAGGACTGTGCCAACACACCCGCTGTGATGGCAGGATCGGGGTGGAAGGAACAAGCTCCACAGCCAGCAGACAGAAAATAAGGCAGATGGTCTAATATATGAGTCCAAACCAGTCATATACAAAATAAGAAAAGAACCGTCCTGCAAGCACAGGGCCCCTCGGCTCTGCTGCTCGGGGCGGCTCTCCCAGGGCTGCGGTTTCCTGCGTGAAAGTTTCGCGCAGGCGGGTGAACGAAGCACAAGGTCACCCCACAGCAGGGACAAACCTCCCACCTCCCACGCCTGCCATCCCTGCTGCTGGCTCAATCCCTCAGCGGTGCCACGTAGGAAAAGCTCTGCAAATGGCAGCAAAGAGGTTGGAGACAGGGAAAGGAAGCGGGGAGCATGCCTGAAATTTGGCCCACCAAAAGCTGCATTTGTTGTGGCTCTATGGGAAAGTAAAGCATCTTTCTGTAACGTTGCCAGTTCACAGAAAGGGCCATGGAGCAAAACCAGAACCTGAGAAAGCATTTCATAAAGGCTGTTTTATCCACTGTGTGTAATGAGACCTAACAGAGTGAACATTGCATGAAGCTCTGGTTTTAGTTTAATAGGAAAAAAAAAAAAAAAGAATCATCAAAGAATATTTATAAAGGTTTGTGTCATTCTTGTGCATTTCCCATCACATGGGGATGTGTCAAAGGATCATGCTTAGTCCTGAAAATCCTGAAGAGGGGTCTGGAAATAGTTATAGCAAAGCATGTGATCCCATTAGCCTGGGGAAAAGAAGAAGAAAATCCAACTTGGAGGTCTTGGCTTTCTCTTACCCTCCTGCCATCTTATTGCTTCTCCTAAAAGCACCACCAGTGTCCCACGCAGTGAGAAATAAGACGATGAGGGAGGTAAAACGCTGCTGCACATATAACTGCAGCCAGAATGCGTAACCAAGCCCTCAGTGGCTCAGCTCCACGCAATTGTCGTTGCAAAAACATCCTGAATCAGCACCAGCTGGCTGAGAAATGAAAGCCGGGCTGTTTGCTCCCCTCTTGCACCTCCCAAAATAACCACTGGCTTCCTCATACTCACCCCCCAAACGTGCTCACTCCCACCTTCCCCAGCAATTCAGTGAGCAGGGGGAGCTGCAGCCAGCACAGCCAGTGTGCTGGGCCCAGTCCTCCCTGTGCCCCGAGAAGCAACGGGATTAAAGAGGCATTTTTGAAGATCACTGGGGTGTAAGAATCTGGAAAGTGCTGGAAAACACAGCTACCCACTCCCCGTGCCTGGGGACCCACTGGGAGGCTGTGCAGTGCTGCAGGGCACCTCCAGCAAAGAGGCAAAACTGCCTTAAACCACCCCCGTTCTTTCAACATTTATCTATGTCTACAGAAGAAATTAAGCACCTAAATCCTATCAGCATGGAGCAAAAGGTGGGCAGCACATTTCCCCAGGCACCTTCAGAAGCCCAAGCCCAGAGGCAGCGGCCAGGGAGCTGCACAAGCCCCAGGGGTTGCTCATCTCCAGCTCCTTTCTATCCCGTGTCAGACAAGAGCTGGCAGCATCACGACCAAACTGTGCCAAAGGCTTGTTACTCCCTGAGCTCCGCACAGGGCACCAGCATTAAAGGGAATTGTGGAGGGGATCTACAGGGGCTATAGTGTTCACGTCTCAGAGATTCAGCCTCAGACAAAAAAATTACCCTCTCTGCTTGCTTGCACATATTTATTTTGTGCTTATGGCTTTGCGAGCAGGGAACTTCTGGTGTAAATCACTTGCATGACCTTTTCTGTTTGATGACTTTACAGCTGGCTGCCCACACCTCAAATGTAATTTCATTTATGCCATTCATCATCAACACCTGCTGGAGAGACTGGCAGCTTCTATCATTAACATTATTGGTGCTGCTGTCACCCGGAGTTGTGGCAGTGGCTGGGCAGAAGATGGGCACGCACGCACGCTCCAAAGATATTACTGCAAAGCACAGCCCCGGGCGGTGCAGGACACGAATGAGGACCTTGGGCATTATCGGTTAGACCTGCGATAGTATTGAATAAAATACTTCTTTTGTTCTTTCCTTCTCATCATTCAGCCATGCCAGAATGAGCAGCAGAAGTCACTGAGATCCTGCTGAGCGTGGCAGAGTGGAAATCCTGTTTTTCCAATTCTTTTTTCTGCCCTACAGGATCTTCTTCCACGTGGCCACCCACTGCACAGCCCTCGAAGGCCGCCAGCCGAGCACCACGCTCTGCTCTCCCAACTCCTTCTCAGTTATAACTTCTTGCGTTTCCAGGGACACGGCCCCAGAAACCCCCCTGCAGCAAGAAAACCACCCAGGGCAAGAACTGGCTGCATTATTTCTCCTCTGGACATCCCCTTGCTCAACAGCACCCTTCTCTAACGCAGCTCATCTGAGGTATTCTAACAATGCTATTAAAATTATGAAGAACTTCATATTAAATTCAACCTGTTTTAAAAACAATGTCACTGGTCTTTACAGCAGCCTTCAACAGGAAATTCTGTGGGCTAATCAGGCATGTGCTTTCTTTATTTCAATCCCTTCTCAGCTATGCTTAATTATACTTAATTATTATAATCATGGTCTCTGCCTTCCTACCTACAACCCACTTGCCCAGGAAAACAATTCTCTTCAATATCCCTCCGCTCCGGTTGTAAAGCCAAATATCCCAATTTCCGAGCTAGCGGGAGGAATGCAAGTCCTTACATGGCTCCGCTCCGCAGGAAGAGGCTGGGGCTGACTCTCTGTCATCTTTAGAAACCTCCTCTCAGCAGTTAAGAATGGGCAGACTTAATTCAGGCAACTATTTCATCCCCGCAGACAAAGCAAACAAGCTGAAGCACACTTAAGGGATGGTTCATTTAAACCCCCGTCGCAAGAGGCGAGGGAAAAGCTGCAGAGTGCTGGTGCCGATGACCCCATCTCCCTGCAATTCCGCGCTGGAGCCGAGCGCCAGGTCCCAAACCCTCCTTCAACTCCTTATAAGTTCAGACTTCACAGATGCCTTGGGGCACAGATGTCTGCCGCCGCTGGCTGCAACTGCATCGGGTACATCCCTGCACACTCGTTAGGTCTGTGTAAACAGCGGGGAGAGACAGAGGTGGTACCACAGAAAAGCATTTAGTGTACGTCATACGTGCTTTGTTCAAAAAAAATGCATTCACGTGAAGAGAAGGAAACAGTCTCAGAGGAAAAGGACTTTTCTGAGCATCTGTGCATGTGGCTGTCCTAAAAAGCCCTCGTAAAGCCCGTTAGGCTAATCTGACAAGAGGAAAGAAAACAAACTCAACGCTGTCTACCATTCATTCATCGCCTGTGCAGCAAAGTTTATAAAAAGGATTAGATGAATCATACGAAGACTAGCACTAGCTTGCCAGCTGCTTCTTAAAGAAAACCTAGTTCTGGGCAAAATACACCTCTTTGGTGCACACAGCCTTGAGCCACACTCTGATCCACGCCCGTAAGAACAGTGTGTGTGTAAGAACTGGAAACAAGGCTCAGAGACACTCCCCGTACAGACTGACCCGTTCCAGCAGAGAATTTCCCTTGATTCCACCCGTTCCAGCAGACAATTCACCCGAGGGCCACCTAAAGCTCCTGCCAGGCAGCTCCTCGGCGGCAGCGCGAGCAGGAGGTGCAGCCCAGCACAGCCCAGTTGAGCAGGCTCCTTATCACTGGACAATTTATACCATTGCTGTCACTAGAAGATACGTCCGGTCAGGCAATTTTGAGGCCCTTTGGAATGGCTCTAGGAAGTCCTTGGCTCTTATTTTCAGAAAAATCAGGTCCTTTGGAAACATATCAAGCAGAAGACCCAAATCTGAAGCTCCAAAACAGCTAACCACCACTGAAAAATCTTGGCTTACAAGTATAAATTACATAGGCAGCTTCAAAAGAGCCCTCGGCCTGTGTCTTTAAAATGTCAGTAGGCAAAAATTACACTGGACAAATTTGTGCCAAGCAACAACTCGCTCACTAGACTGATGCAGCTGCTTTTTAAAGCACTTTGTGCTAAATGAAACTGCTCTGTGGAGCAGCATTGCCCTCATACTATGCAAAGGTTGAAAAGTTAAACCCAGTGAATCAAAAGGAATATTGCTAAATGCAAGTAAATCTTTTCTTCTTCTGCCTGTCAAAATGACTCAAGAATCTCCTGATTAATTTTTCCTTCAAGAAACCCCATTAATTAATGAATGATAATAATTAATAATGGATGGAATATACCACAAAAGCAACAGCGGGCCAGACTCCAGGCTTCTGCCTCACAATCTGACTTTTTGTGCAGAGATGCAGATTTTTTTATTGACATCCCTCAGCATAATTTAGACAGGCAGAATTATGTGAATACAGCTTCAGGATCGGATTCCTCAGCTGGCATTACACAGTGCTGCTCCTTACAGCACCCTGTGCAGCTTCAAACAGCGGAATTTGTGACACAATACCTTATCATATTACATCAACAAGTATTACAGCACGGCAAGGTAAGCTTATTTTTTTAAAATGAGCTGCTGTGCCTGAGAAAACGCCACTCGGTCATACAAAACCCTCGTACAGAGCCTGTCCCTTGAAAATCAGTAACCATGGCAGACTGCGCAGGCGCCGTGCCTGCCGGCTGCGTAGCTACACGTATGTACATACATACACTATAAAGCAAGACATTCAAAGAACACTTCAGTGTCTGCATGTACATACTCTCTTACGTTTTTCAGACTGCAAACTTTTTTTAATCAAATACTGCCATTCACCCACGTTAAAACAAGCAAGTTAAAAATTCACTTGGTGTTGTCTGCAAACTTTCTGCAATGTAACATGCATCGTTTAATCATATAGGTCATAGCTAGAGACCATTTTATTGCAGCATGATTTCATCTTCAAACTATTCCAATATCCACTTGTGTACAGTAGGTTACCCATTTATAGGTTTCTAATAAAAGCAAATCTTCCTTAAGTGGCTATTACTGGATTTCTCTTTTCAGCCTAGGGATAAGCAGGATTCTGGGCTTTAAAAAGATCTCTAGTGGGCTGAATAAGAAAGTGACAACTGAAGAATGTCATGGCAAAACTTCGATATGTTCTAATTACAGCACTGTTAATGAGAAGAACATATGTCAGATCAGAACATTCATCACATGTAGCATAGACACACTGAAATCATCTATTCACACAGAGTCTGAAAATTTTCTACTCACATCTAGTTAGATGCCACAGAAGGTAGTGCCTGGCAATACAAAGTAAGTTACACCATCTGGAAATAATTAATACTTTTTTTTTTTTTTTTTTAATCAAGGACTTTTAGGAATTTGCACAGTCTGTTGCTAAAGAAAATTAGGTATTTATTTTTTTAAAAAAATGAACCGAAATACAGCTTTAGGAAATATCTGTTCAATACATTTAGATACATAGTTTGAGACTGACTTATTTCCAAAGTGTTCCTTCACAGAGTTATATTCACATGCACTTTAAATGTCTTCTGCATTCTCCACCATATTACACCTCATCACAATATTTATAATAAAAAGGCTAACCTGTAAATTCTGTAGACATTGACATTTAGTATGAACATCTGCAATGTATAAGAAACCCTGAATAGTAATTTGATTGCACCGAGACAGATGTAGGCTGGTAAAATAATAAGGCACAGTACTATGTATAGGGAACATGGGTTATTCTTTTAGCGACACAGACTTACTGACCTAGTTAGCCTGTCTGCAAGAACTGTATTTGGATTAAAGTCACTGCACCCTCTGAGCACAGGGACAACGTTCACCTATCCAAGACTGCTCTGATGACCCAAGGTTTTTACACGTTGCAGTGGGAATTAAAAAACTGTAAGATATCTGTGGAGTTCTAGAAAACGTAAGGGCTCTTTTATGGGAAGTATGAAGTGTATACATGTCCCCAAACCCTTATCAAATTAATAAAAAATAAATAAATCAATCAAGTGATATCTGTGATAAGCACTAGGTACAAAAACATGATGTCTGATTTTCAAAACTTCCAGGTACCCACAACACCAAGTGCTCAACACATGCAAAACCTACAGGTTTTTTCATTAAAGAAAAGTCTGTCGGTGCAGTTTGTTTTGAATCCCAGCTGGGTACCACAGAGAAGTACCGCAGATCTTTCCATATTATTTTGGCTCTCCACTTCCACAACAGCATTAAACTTTGGCAGGCAGGGGATTTGTATCAATCATTTCAGCAGAGATCTCTGGGTGCAGCATCAGCCTTTTGCTTGTATGGCGAGGATTAGTAAGACATTGCTGAGATCATCATGTGTGTGTTTCACAGCCAAACCAGCTATTAGTATTAAACAAGGAAAAAAAAGAAGAGCTGTAGTCTGCAGTGAATATCCCATTAAAAAGGACCCTAGGTTTATTTCAGAGGTAGTTTTAAAGAGGATGACCATTGCTAAGAACCTCTACTGATAAATTGCTGCTTAAAAAGTTTTCAACTGCGTGAAGGTCCGAACAGGTCACAACGATGGTGAGCGACACACTCACTCTTCCACAAAAGTCACCTTAAAGCTTTTCAGTTAGTCTGTTGTGAATTCTTAGGTCACCGGACAACTAGAGCTCCTATTCAAGCTGGATGGGAAGGATAAAGAACTCTAGTGAAGATTGTGTGGTACGCAGGTGATCTCTAGAATCGGGTCAGTGTTGTGAAACAAGCTTCACATCCAGCAGTTGGCGTTAGTAAGACTGAACCTGCAAAGAACAAAACGCAGCCTGGGTGTGTGTCTGTCTGCGGTACCACGTCCCGCAGGGAAGAATACTTCACTGTCCCACCGAGTTCAAATCAAAACAAGTTTCTTCCTGAAACTTGGTCAGGCAGATAATATTTGGACCCCAGTGCAGAAGCAATGTGTATCTGTCAGATGTGATGCGCACGCCTTGTCATTTGTTTATATAAAAACATTGCTAAACCAAACAGCTAAAAATGCAGACAATAAACAGAGCATGTTATTTACAATACAGAGACTAACAGTGCAGTAAAACAGAGGGAAGCTGTAAGGAACGTTTTAAAGCAAGTTTAGGTGACTTTTATAAACACAATGTCTGTTTTGCTGTAAACTCAAGTAATTGCATTTGTTTTGTTCTAACTTCCTAGAAGACCATGATTGAAGTTCCAGCGGAACCCTACTAGTGCTAGCAGATTAACAAACCTGCGAAACAGAGTTACCACAAAAATAAAAGCCGTTCTGAAAACCTGTTTAGACAAGTTCAGTTTTAGACTACTTTTAACCATTCTAACCAGTATCACGATGAATGAAAAGGATGGCCTTCTGGCGATTTCAGACCTCGCTAGAATTTAACTTTCCAAAAAACAAAGTGTGAATTTGAGGTTCAACTGTATCTCAGCAATGACAGGCACCGTGACTGTGACTTTACAAACGACACTGTCCAACACAGGCCATGGGCCAACCCTCCACGCGTGGCTGTGGACAATTCCTACACTGAGTCACAGGGAACTCAACAGGTCAAGTGCTTGCAGGGACGATTCCTCACCGCTCTCCCAGATCCAAGATTCACGAGCTCACCTGGAGGGCTCTCCCAGTTTGGGAATACTGTGTCACACTATTCACTGAAAGCAAATATTTCATAGAGAAAATGGGGCTCAGTAATTGGAAACAAGACCAAAATACTCTCAGCTGTATTCCCTGGGTTATGAATAAGTCCTTTTCAATATAGCAAAAATTTGCTGAGGCTGCTTCCTTTTCCTTCTCACCGACTGTGGCCACATAGAAAAGAGACACAAATTAGCAAGACAGTTAACTATGTACTTGATTTTAAAATATAGTCGTCCCGAGTAAGAAAGATCCAGTCTTAAACATACACAACTCATAACGGGCAGGCACGCTGTGCAATCAGGTCATGCTGAACGCATTTTCTAGATATAAAGCAACGTTCTTGCCAGCTAATGACTTTATCTGCTGTTCTACAGCACCAGACTTAAGTGACATTACTGTGTGTACACCAGAAGTTACCTCACAGTAACTAGTTCCCAGAAGTCACAGGAGAATGATTATTTTACATTTGGCATTTTATAGATGAAAATGGTTTAGAACCAAGATACTGCTCTATGCTCCTAAGAGACCTGTTCGTACAGTCCTAGCACACCAACAGTCTACTGTCTTCTGCCAGGCTCCAGACACTACCATCACTTGACAGTCTCTCTATAAAGTGCTTTTCTATGCATCTTTCCTAACAAGCTATTGCTTCCAAAAGGTTCCTTTCTCCTCACTCACCAGGTATATTTTGTAAGAAAATGCATAAAGGGCAGAGAAGGAAGAATGTTTCTGGCTTCTGGAATGGTGCCACATCTATTAGAAATTCTACCAAAATTGATGGTGTCTTCCGCCACTTCCCCCCAAAATCCACTTTCTCGATTCTCCATTTAAATAAAACTCCACTCAGCCAAGCCAAATAAAAAAAATACCAGTCATGCATCATTATGAAATGAACCATGAACATACCATATACACTGGTATTACCTGTAGACGCACAGATAAAGGTTAGACTGTTATTTTAATATTATTATTAGGCTTATTGAATTTACACTTGTAAAACAAAAGAACTCAGAAAAGCTATGTACATGAGGACCTCAGTTTAAACAGTCCTGGAAAGTTTGGAGCTTTAGCTCTGTCTTTTTGCCTTTTTATGCAGGCCTCCACCCAGCGTTTTACCAGTGCTGTAATTAAACAGAGCAGAGAAGAAAATACAGCCCCATCTTCTCAGAGGGAGGGTCTCCTACTGAACATGTGGTCACCTTATCTTAAAAATCACCCTGATAATTCTTTGTATACTGAGAGTCTCCTTAACATTAAAAACCTGCCACAGAGAAGCTCATTAAATATAAAACCTTCTGTTCATAAAAGCTCTAAAGTGTATTTAAAATTCTGTTCAGGCACCTGGCAAGAGATCAGATGGTTTTATAAATGGACTCGGGCCATGCGGCTGCAACAAGTAACAACCCGAACAAGTTGTGCTGTTGTCATTACAGGTCACACCACCTTTTCATGTTCTTGGAAGATAAAGGAAGAGGAAACACAAGGTCATATATTTAAAGAATGAGAAAATGTAGTCATTTCTCTCTCAAAGACCTGAAAGAATTTGATTAGAAATAAATCTTCTCATAACACATTTTGATTTGGATCCACCAGTTCTTGCACCTTATCAATCTTTCCTGATATTTCAGAGTTATGCTTAGATTTCAGAGCACATTTCCAATTAAGTGTGCCCCCTGACATTTTCTAGTAACAGTCCTGGGCCTTAAAAACTCTTTCTTGTCTGACAGGGGTGGCATGTTTGCTTTTTATTAAAAGAGGTCCATGTAATTCAAAGGAATGCACTCTACACAAAAAGAAAATTTTTAAGTGACCAGAATTTAAACATGTATATCAAACAGTTCTTTAAGTTCAACATTTTGTTTTGGAAACAACACAGGAAAACAAACACACACACCTGGCAGAAGGGATGATTTAAATCTGAGCTTCAAGGAAACATACAAATGATTCATTAGCCCTGAATAAACTGGCCCACACTCGTCATGGACCAGTCCTGATCTTGAATTCCCCTACCAGCTTTCCATAGACTTTTAAGGGAAATAGCAAGTGGACAGAAGTTAGTAGTTTTATTTAGTTAGATCCTGTGTTTCATGGCATTTCTATGCCCCTTTGGAAAAAAAATATTCAGATGATAAAATTTCAACACCAAATTCCTTTGGTGTCTACATCCCATGGTACTTTTTAAAAATCTCAGTCAGGATTGATATGGGAAAAGCAGCAGAGAAATAAAATTCTTCAAACATAAGTTAGCAATTTGCAAGTAAGTTCCTAATGCATTACATTAACACATTTGTGCTTTTGACAATAGATGTAAAAACTCTGCCCAGAATAAAAAGAGTTCAGTTGAAGATTAACTGAAAACATGTATTTTAAATCAATTTCCTTTGCTATCTTAAGCAAAGGAATCTGTTAAACCATCCTGATAAGAAACAGTTTGATTTCTAAAACAACATTATTAAATAGCATGTCTGCCAAACTGTACTCAACAGCTGAGCTGACCTACCCAGTAATGTAATATGCACCACACTGTGAGTGAAACAATTGGATAAACGTTAGCCCTTTAAATGTGTACATTTTGACTGAACTTTTTATATTCAAGATTTAGCCTCTAATAAAAAGTAAATCCATTAAAAACCTCTGCATTTAACTTCCTTACACATTATTAACAAACAATTAAAATACAAGGTACGTGTTCTGGAAATACGCAATTCTCTATTAGCTGACCAGTTTGGGTAGCACAGTACATAGAGGTATAGTGCCATTGGAGTCGGATGTTAAATTAGCCCTCAGCTTGTTCGCTACTCCAACTACAGGAGGCAACTTGGAACCAATTCCTGTGAAAGAACTCGTATAGCTAGAAATCCGTTTATTGCAGGTTTTATCAGTGCTGGGTGGTTTGGGCGTTCGTTTACAAATCCAAGGGTGCCTTAAGGCCTGACTTGGAGTCATGCGTGTGGCAGGATCCCAGCTGAGACACTCTTTTAAGAATTCTATAAACAAGGGGTCATCGCAGCCTTTCAGTGCCGTCACCCAGTCTTTGTTCCCTGGAGCACCTCGTGCTTTACCCCGGCGCGATCGACTCCCGTTAAGGGTCACTCTTCCATCTGCATGTGTAGTTACAGTGCAGTAGCGAGGATGACCCTTAGAGTTGATGAAGTTCTTGGCTCGCTTGGACTGATCCAAAAGCTTCTGAGGTGGCATTCCAAGGAGTTCCATCATACAAGCCAGCTGGTCTCCCTCGTCCTCTCCAGGAAAAAGAGGGTATCCAGTCAATAGCTCCACCAGAATACAGCCAAAACTCCACATGTCTATGGGCATCCCATAGCGACTTCCCAGAATTACCTCTGGTGCCCGATAAAATCGAGACTGAATGTACGTGTAGACTCTTTGGTGCTCAAAACAGCTGGACCCAAAATCTATAACCTTGATTCCACTCCTCCCTTGCTGTTTTAGGAGGATATTTTCTGGCTTCAGGTCACAGTGTATGATTTTGTTTCTATAAAGGGCATCCAAACACTGCAGTATGGAGTGAGCAAACTTGCGTACCAGTTGGATACTGAAGCCCTGAAACTTATTTCTTTTTATCAGCTCATACAAGTTCATACTCAGGAGTTCAAAAGTCATACAGATGTGGTTCCGAAAGGTGAAGCTTTCCAGCATGTGAATAACGTTCATACTGCCCGTTTTATCCTGCTTCTTCAGATGCTCCAGAATCCGGATTTCTTCTGCTGCTTGGCGGTGGAACCTCTTTTCATTGCGAACCATCTTTAAGGCTAAGTGTTGGTGGAGTTTGTGATCGTAGACTTTAGCAACTTGTCCAAAACTGCCCTTGCCAATGATTTTGAGTACTTCATACCGGTAAGCAAGATGGTCATGGGGCACGTGAATGTAGCTGCCTTGGTCATCATCATAACCTCCATTGTTGGGACCACCAATTACTCCTTGTCTCTTTTTTGCAGCTGGACCCACAAAGTAAATTTCAGAAAAATTAAATATCTCTTGCTGCTCATAAGCAGATAGCTGATGTTTGTACTGTTTGACAGCTTGCTCTGGAGCTTGAGAAATGGCTTTATGTGCTTTTGAGGAACTACCACCACTTTTAGAAGTACTTATGCTCTCTATACTTTTATCTTTTGTCAGGGAAGGAAGAGATCTGTCCAAACCAGTAATTCCTGCAGACTGAAGAGTGCTACTCCTTCTGTTGCCAGAGTCCTCAAATAATTGCTCCACTTTGACCTGACTTCCACTCAGAGGGTGATCCTTCATTGCGAGTTTGTTGCTAGAAACCTACAGACGGGGGCAAAAGAAAAAAACAAACAAACAAACAACAAATTTACTTTTTTCTTTTAAATCACAGACCAAGAATAAAATCAATTACATGTAAAACAAAACCAGTAACATCCACAGGTTTTGCATTTCTATTAGGAACAAATACAAAATTCTGGACCTAAAGTAACTCAAGTTAGAAGCATAGTTATAGAAGGGTACACAAAGAGAATGCAACTTACTGAAACAAGCACTTGCACAAACGTAGTGTACTTTTAAGTCCATAAAGGGTAAACCCCAGACAGCCAAACACTCAAACAAGGACACAATACCTATCTCTACTAGTATGCACGTAGTCAGCAAACAGCCGGGGAACAGCTATGTTTAGCTTTAAACGTGGGTGCAGCGAACGCAACCAGCGACAGATGCAGCTTGCACCTGTCTGAAACGTGCACCAGATCATGGATGTGCAGAGAAGTGTCAGGAATACTGCAGACAAGTGTGCCAGAGGAGGACAAAGAAACGACAGCAGGTGACATGAGGCTGGTGTAACCAGGCTGAACGGAAAAGGATGGCAGAGCAAGACAAGATACAATACTTAAAAAAAAAAAAATAAAGAAGTTTTTTCTTTGAAGGAGAAAATACCATTATATCCACAGCTTCCTCTGAAATCATGATAGCTGCACAACTATCTTAAGATAGATTTGGAAGCTTTGAATAATCAAGAATATCTCTTACTCCAACTTAGTTGACAGTAGTTTCTAACCACTGACTCTTACTGCCATATGTTAAAATATTTACATCTGAAATGAATGCATAGAAGGTGAGAAAGGCACTGTGAAATTTTTCAGGGTTGTCATTTTTACAGTTTAGTAAATGCTGAGCTCCCTGGAGTTCAGTTCCTTACTAGGACAGCAGTTAGTCCCCTGTTCTCATTGACGCTCCATGCTGATAGACAGCAGAGAGGTGTTGTCTTACCCTGGGCAACACTGAAGAAGCCATGACTAGAGTAGCAACATCTGTTTTCCATTTTGTCCTTTAATTTAAAAATAAAGATTTGAGACACATGCCAAACCGAATCCCTGAAAACCAAAATAACTACACAGGAATCAAACAAAAAATATAAATAAACCTGCAGATCCACAGCAATAAAACCAAATTCCTTTTCAGTTACATACAATCCAACATCTCAGCACAGTCAGTAAATAAGGGAAGTGAATGTTCTCGCCAAAAACAACTACACACGTCTCTCAAGAGTCTGTTTGTTGGTGCTGCCTTGAAATGTTAGCTCGTGCTCACAAGCCCCCAAAAACTGGGCACTTCCTGCAGAAGTCAGTCCTTATCAATGGTGACTAAGGGCTATCGGATACATCCTACTAAGTTCCACTACTCTGCATCCTATCAACCCAAAAATACAGCATACTGTAAGAGACACGCCTTTCCAGAAAGTCTTAAACACAAAAACAAAGCCCAACCCCGGTAACTTAGAATAAACGCCTTTTTCTCGGAGTCTGGCTGAACTGCCGAGATAAGAATGACATATTTTCAGAGCTGGCTAAAAGACTATTCAGTCCAGCAGACTCAGACAGTAAGTTTACAAATAAACAGAGAACATAAGCACAGAACAAGGTTCACACTTGTTTGTTTTCTGAGGTTTTCCAGGGGGAGCAGGAGAGAGAGGGAAAACTGAAACAAGACAAGCCTGTCCTAGACTAAAAGTCTTATTTTCACCTCTGCAATCAAAACGTGACATTCTTCCTACTTGGGTTTCAATTGTTTGCACAACAGAAGTAGCTTTTTATCACTGCAATTCAGAATAGACACAACTGCAGCTTTGGAGCCAGCCACCCTGCCGCAAGAATATCGCCCTGGCAGTTTGTATTAGCAGGGCTCCCCGCCTTCTCTAGCTGGGTGACTGAATTACACACCAAGACTTCAAAACGTGCTACTGTACGGCAGAAATGACACTTACCACATAAACTTCCCCCAAGTATTTGATTTCCAAAAAATGGCGTTAACAGTCTGACTGTCATCAATTGTAGCAACACAATAAAGCGTGAACGCCTTTCAAACACTGCTAAATCTAAATATTCTCTATTCAGGAGCAACAGCAAGCCTGCTAATACTGTTGTTTGCAGCAAACATTTTGTACCTTTGAATCCCTAAATAAACAAGGAATTAATTACTCCATTTATCCTGAAACTATTTATTAATGAAGAAGGCATGGCTTTGGATCTCAAACCCAACTCAACAGCCATTCAGTAGCAAGGACTAAGTTTTCATTCTTAGAGAACTACCAAAATCATTTGCCACATGACGATGAGACACAAATTTAGATCAGTCTTGAACTCAGAAGAGCTAGCCTTAAAGTCAGATGACTTCTGGGTAACATCAGCTTTCTTTTATGAATCAGAGGCTGTACAGGTTTTGTTTTATTGATGAAGTGCTACCAGCAGCCAAGAAATTAGGCTGACAACACAAGTGGCACCCTGTTGAAGATTTTCACATACTTACAGAACTTCATTTTAATTGAGAAGGAAATGGTTAACCCAGTTTCTACACCACTGGTTTGAAAAAGTGCATCAGTTATGAACACTGAATTAAACAAACTGAATTAAACCCATGTATTCTCAAAACAGAGATATTTATGTTCTCATATAGCTAAGATGAAAAAAATGGACAGCTGCAGACATGAGAACTCTTCAATTCTCACATAACATTACATCGTAATACAAAAATCTTTCAAGAAAGAAACCAAATATCACTTAATTCCAGATACTTCCCCATTAAAATTGAGCATCATGATTTTCATCCTTGCATGTTTCATCTCAGTTCCTGCTTGCAAGATACCACTAAAGTATTTTTTGATGTGTCATCATGGCAAAAGTAGGCATTTTATAATCTTTATTCTGGCCCTAAGAAGTTAACAGTCCTGATGGACAAAATACTGATGAAGAATAAAGATATACCAGTGAAACAAAATATTCATAGAGCTATATTTGTGTTTAACTGGATAGGTCCATTCTATTGATTTCTGTTCAGTTGTGAACAACTGAAGTTACAGTATGAATTAAACACTGCCATTTAAAAGTGCCCATCTCCTTGCAAAAAAAAAGAAAAAACCAACCCACTACTCTTCAAACTCTACTACTCCACAAATCTCTAAATTTCTGCTCTCCCTCAATATTACCCGAAAGACAAAACACAGACTCATGCTACTGAGTTTGCTCAGTGAACAGCACAGACCAAATTAATTACTAATATCTGTTACAATAAATTCCCACAAGGTGATGATTTTCAAATGCATCTTACTCCATGAAATGTATATTTTCACTTTTTAGAGAGTGGGTTTTTTTAAGCTCAAGCTCCTTCACTTCTGCCAAAATTCAGTAAGAGCCAAAACACATTTAAAAACCATATAAAGGTCAGATCCCTGTACAGCTAAACATGACCACCCTTGCTCAGTCGAATCACTTTAAGGAAAGATCTCGCAACTCCACATGTGCTGAGGAAACACAGCACTTACAAAGACATGTTAACACCTTTGGTCCATGAAGAGCTATTTTGCTAGCAAACGAAGTGGCAGATAATGCCAAAGTTTTCAGAGGAGAAAGATACTTTTATGAGATGTTTGGCAGCCATGCAAACCCACACCGCTCCTTCTGCTGTTTATAAGTACTTATCTCTTGGAATTTTCATGAGGGAAACTAAAATGGAAACATGCAAGAGGTAAAGCAAAGCCTGTGTGGATTTACATACTTATCACCATACAAGGTGACATGGCTGAACACTTCAGCCTTTTGTAAAATAACTTTCTTGATTAAAACATGAGCTAAGCATAGTAAAATAGTATTTCTGAGGCTGTCTAGCAAGTTCTACATTGAACACAATACCACATCATTTTTATGCTTAGTAAAAGCAGTAATGTTAATAAGCTACTACAAAGCTGCAACATCCCACTTCTCAAATTTATTCTTTATAAGTAGGTATCCAACTCCTTCATAGCTCTCACTGCCACACAACACAATGTGAAGATCCAGATGACTTTAAAATACTCACATTAGATCTTCCAAGGGAAGGAAGTCCTGAGGGGCTGTGTTCTTCACTTGTAGACTCTTGGTATCTAATCTGATCGATCCTCATGTAGGAGTCATATAATCCATCTCCAAACCTGGCTGGAAATGTCCCATAGACAAACCAGTAAGTCACAACAATTCACATTGACACAGACAGAGACAAACGCTGAAATGTATCTCACTTGGCACACTTTAGTCTGTAAGATCATCAGTTCTTGTTCATTTTTTAAATGATCTTCAGAATTCAACTACATTGCAATATCACAACAGAGTGCAAAGCTTTTGGGAAATCTTAATTTGTGATGCTTTTAATTTAGAGCTTTTCTTTTTTTTTTTTTTCAATCAACTTTTGCACTGCAAATATATCCTTTAGAAACACTGACCAACATACTCCCCATTTTCCCTTCAGTAGGATAATCGCGAACTAGCCTCGCTGAGAGCAACAGAAAACGAGAATACATTTAAATACTTGATAGGACTATCCTTTAAAGTAGGTTATCCTGTAAAAATGATATGTGGGAATTACAGTTAGGAGATTTGCTGCAAGGAGAGGGCGGCGGGGCGGGGGGGAGGTCGTGTCGGTTTGCCCCGTAACTGTTGGCAAATGCTACTGAAAAACTTAAAATCGCGACGCTGAACGCCACGGACGCCGCACCGGGGCTGGGCAGTTTTGCAAAGGGAAGAAGCCCCGGGGTGGGGGGGAGCGGGGCGAGGCGAGGCGGCCCCCCCCCCCCGGGGCCTGCACCCCGCGCTCGCCCGCGGGCCCTCCCCGAGGCCGCGGCCCCGCTCCCCACGGGACCCCCGCGGCTCATCCCGGGGAGGGCCCGTCGACCACCGCCTCCTCCCGCTTCCAACCCCCCCCCCCCCGCCACCGCCTCACCTGCACCGAGCGGCCCCTCCGCCTTCCTGCCCAGCAGCATCGTTCCGGGGGGGGGCGGCCCCCATCCCCCGCCGGGCCCCGCTCCGCCGGCCAGCGCTGCCGCGGCGGGCGGGGAGGCTCCGCTGCGCCCGCCCGTTGCCACGGGAACGTTCCGTGTTCCCCCCCCCGCCGCCGCCGCCGCGCAACCCGCCGCCGGGCGGCGCCTGCGCAGTAGCGGCGCGGGGGAGGCGGGAGGAGCGGCGCGGGGAGCGGAGCCCCGCCGCCCTTACTCTCCCCCCCCCCTTCCGTGGCGGGGGAGCGGCTGCAAAGCGGGGGAGCGCCCTCTTTATAAAAACTCGTTACACACACACATATACACATATATATATTTTTTTAAGCCGTATCCAAATCTTTTGCCCGTTCCTCCTCCCCGCCTCAGCGTGTCTCCCGGTGCCCCCCCGCCCCTGCAGACCCCTTCCCGGCACAAAGCACGTTTGGGAAACGGCTCCGTTCAATGACAACCCGCCGCCCGTCACGGCGATCGCCTCCCACGCGGGGAGGAGACCGGGGAGCCCTGCGGAGTGACCCCCCTCCGCCCCCCGCTCCCAGCTCCCGGGGCGGGCGGGTCTGAGCGGGGCGGCGGTTTCCACCCGGACGCTTTTGCGCCGCGGGACGGCGGCATGGCGGCTGCCGCGGCCTGAGGGGAGCGCGGCGGCGGCGGCGGCCGGGGCGCGGGCCCGCCATGTTCTCCAGGGCGTTCCGGGTGAGATCGAACACCGCCATCAAGGGGTCCGATCGGTGAGTGCCGGGCCGGAGTCCCCCCTCGCCGCGCTCCGCTGTGGCGAGCGGCTCGGTCCCGCTGCCCCGGCGGGCGCGGGGCGCGGCGGGTTTGGGCCGAAACCGCCGCGGTTCGGTGCCGGTCCCGGTGCCGTGCAGGAGGCGGCGGGGGCAGCGGCCGGGCCTCCCGCAGAGATCCGGGCTGGGGGCAGGCGGGGAGCTGTGACTGCTTTCACCTCGCGTGGGGGATAAACACGAGCTGCCGCTCTGAACACAAACCGCGCTTTTCGCTTGAAGGTGCTGCCGTAATTAAACGAGATTTAAATAAATGGTTACGCGGAGGCCTAGCTGATCCTGCTGGACTTTTATGTTCCTGCATAGGGATGCTAGGCTGACTTTCAGATTCGCTTGACGCTTCTGCGAATGACCACACTAACCCACCTTGTGCCGGTCACCATGTCTTCGACATCTGTTAAAACCGGGGGGGAAGAGGGAAATCTGGCAGCACCCCTGCTCCTCTGTGCCAGCTGTCAGTGACAAGTCTGGCACTCCCAGATTAGTGCTCAGGAGCTCAGAGCAGTAATGAAATCAGTGCAAGACAGAGGCAAAGACAGCAACAGGAGCTGATGTTTAAGAAAGAATATGAGCAGGGCAAGCATATTTGGCCTTTTCCCAGTATTCTTCCAGCACGTAACTCTCATTTGTAAACCCATACACAAATGCTTCAGATAACCTGTGAAAAAGTGGGATTCGTCACAAGAACAGCCAACAAAATAGTAACTACTGATCTAGGATTTATTATGAGGGATGGTCTAGACAGTTTTGTAATACCTTTGTGATTTTATCATTACAGGAGAAAACTACGAACTGATGTTGCAGCAGCTTTTCCTAACCTTAGTGCAGAACAATTGACTGAGTTTATTCCAAACAAGGAAGAGCTTAATGTCATCAAAATATACTGTCACAAAGGGGAGGCCGTCACTGTTTACATGAATAACAGGAACCCAATACTGTTTGAAATTGAGAAAGCTCTGTATCCAACAGGTATGGGGAATGGACTAGAATAATCTTCCCGCTTTACTTGATGGGCACCAACCTTTCCCAAAAAGATTTATTCATGTCTGTCTTAAGTACTTACCCTATCACTGTAGTATTGCTACATTTCATAATCCTTAGTGCATTTATTCCACCAACATCTTTGCGAAATCAGGGGCATTTCAGGACTCTCTCTGAAAAAAAAAAAAAAAAAAGGAAACCGAGGTGCTGAGATGTTAGAAACCAGGAAAGAAGTATTTTAAGTCATATTTTAGCATCTTAGCCCTTTTTATCTCTTTTGTCCACTGCAAGGTATAATTCCAAGAAGCATGATGTCCACACTTTGGGGCAGCCCTGGAATTAGGCAATGAATTGCTCTGGTATTATATGCTTTTATTTTTCCCATACCCAGCAATTCTTCCCGGTTGGGGTAGCATTTTAGCTCAGAGTGTCCCTGATTTAAGGAAAATAATGCAAACATTTATCTACATCCTTTATAATAATTCACAGGAGCTTGCATTAACTAGCAGCTTATTTTTCTCCATCACATCTAGTAATTATTGTAGGATTATTCTGATGTCAGATTTCTGGATTACCCAGGTAACAGGAGAGTGTTTAGTGTTGTCCTGCTTAGTCTTAAAGATGGGAAGAAGCAATACCTATAGAATTTTTTAATGATGTATCTTTAAATTTGGTTCTGTTTTGGGACAGTATACACTTTGTGGCTCTACCCAGATCTTCTCCCTGCTTTTTCAACATGGCCCCCTGTACTACAGAAACTAGCAGGAGGAGCAGGTAAGAGGACTAGAACTTTGTCACATTGCATTGCAAAAAGGGGTTGTCTTCAAGGCTTTTTACATGTTATCTTTCCCAGTGGCAAAAACACACCTGAAACTAAATACAAAGAATAAGTACTTAAAAGTAGTTCATGGTGATGTCCTAAAAAAGAAAATAAATACCTGTAAAAAAAAGTTTGTGAATGAAACAAAGTAGGTTAAGCTGTTTAAATGCAGTAACCCGTTCCATGTGGGAGTCTCAGATTTGGAAATCTCAGGGTGATCAGCAACTCTGAATTGGAACACAGAACTGCCCGTGTTGTTAGTCTGTCTCTTTTATAACTTTCCTTGAGCAGCTGAGTTCCTTTGCTGCCACCCCACTTCTTGTCAATTCAGAGGTGAACTAGCTTACACTATGGATAAGAAGTGAGTTTATATTGGAACCTACAGTTGTAATCACTGTCAAGTAAATTGTGTATTGTGCAGGTGAGGTTGGATTTGCATTCCTGGATTACTGGCTCTACCACCTAATTATGGATCAAGACTAACAAGAAAGGAGTCTATTTTCTGGAACCTGCTTTGGATTCAGTTCAGACTCAGGAGAATCAAGTCTTTATAAACTTTAAATTGATGGACTGCTCAACCAGAAAAAGATTAAATTGCAGCCACTGCAGCCTTAGTCTGTAAATGGAAGTGTATGTGTAGGAAGAGATGTCTTTTTTCCATTACACAATATCTAAAGTAGAACTCAAGTCCCTGTGTTTACTTTGTTTGCTTTTGGGGTAATAAAGTGCCTGAATGTGTAGCTGTGATAGACATCTGAGCAAGCCTTGCTGCTGACTTGTAGTGACCTAGTTTCTGGGGGAAAAAAAAAAAAAAAGTGTTACTAATGGGGGAAGGACATTGATGAAAGAGGGCTGCAGGTCATTCATCTCCCATGGCAACCAGGCTACCTCTGGGTACGATCCAAAGATAAGCTGGCCACCAAGACAATGTCCAACAAAGGGAGAGGGAGAGGTAGAGCCACATCTCAGAAAGAGGAAAGGCATGAGACTCTCCAGGGCTGCAGACACGGAGGGAGGGAGCAGATGTAGGAAGCATTCAGTTACAAAGAGGAGAAGCAAGGTAGCGCTATTCATGCTATTTCTGTGAATTCAAGGATCTATTGTCTGCCCTGGTTATTTACATAACATACGTATTTACATAATGCTACTTACCTTGTCAGGTTAAGGTCCTCATGTGATTTCTGTCCTCAGAGATGTGGAGCCTTTGTTGCAATTGCAGAGTTCATTCTAGATTTGCTGAAAATAGTTGTGACAGTGAATGGGAGGAAAAATATTGTTGGCTTCTTCAGCATACACATTAAATCTATGATGCTGAGAAAAAAGTGAGATGCCTTCAAAACCAAACCATGGAACACAGGTCAGTTCATGAGACTGCAAGCTCTAGACAATTACAGCTGCTATGAGGGAGAGCAGATGCTCTTTACATAATTCGGTGATGACGTGATGTTGTATGTGCGGCATGGAAAACTGTTCTTTGCTCACATGCCAGCCTGTTTATCCCAGGTATGGAAAGCAGAAGGAAGCACACAACAAGGAGTACTGTTTCTGTCCAGATTAGCAAGGAGATGGTTAAGGCTGCTTCCTCATGCTGAGGAGAGTTCACATCTGAGTGCAGCTGTTGTGACAGATCAGGAGGGTTGGGTCAGCAGTGGCAATTTTTAGGCAATTCTCTCTGCAGAGGGAGAGCTGCTGGGATAACCTGCCCTTGGGACAGGGAAGAGTAAAGGGGTAGTTTCAGACACATCTCCTTGTTCCTTTCTTTTTCCATGTCATTAATGAAGAGTAATGCTCTCTAGGCTGGGAGCTTGGACCTGTCTGTTAAAGCCAGTACTCCCTTCTGGCCTGACAGGGCAAGGGGCTGAGCATGCTTAGCTCTTCTGCATTTTTTTGGGATGTGCCCAGCACCTTTGTGAGTTGGATCCCTTACTCCACAGGGTGGTAGCAAAAAGTGCTGCCTTACTAGGAGAGACAGAGAATCATGTTTTATCTGGCATGAGTTCAGCTATTAACAGGCTTGTGTTTTTGCTGAGTAACAGGAGGGATGGGGGTGGAGGAGGTTGTGGCTGAGTCTTTCACTGAGAGATGGATGTGCTTTATTCTTTTCTTCAGATCTGATGCTGCCAGGAGTTGTAGTGCCATCTTCTGGCTTTCCTCAAGTAGAGCGGGGCACGCTCTGTGCTGTCACCCTCTTGGGAAACAGGTACAGAGGATTCATATATTTTCTTAGCTTCATTTAATTTTTAGTTTCTATTTTCTTACAGGAAGGCTTTGAGGAAATAAGAGCAGAATTGTTCTCGTGCATCTGATGCACTGTGGATCTAAACAATGGAAAATACAGCAGAAAAAAGAATCCACATAAGTTTCTGAGTTAGGATATGTTTGAATTCAGGTGGACAGCTTTGCAAATTGGTTCTTTTGGACCTGTGGGGACACAGCTGGTAAATTTGATTTGAAACAGAGTAATTTTTTCAACAAAAGATTGTATTCTGCACAGTTGTCTTTTTGTCTATGAAGAAATTCGGAGTGAGGGAGCTGTGCTAAAACTGTTTTTTTTTTTTTTCCCCCACTGCTAGTCTCTTTTGGCAGTGCGTATGCTTCTGTATG